ATCAGGATTGGTGGATGCTACAATAACATGAAAGAAGCAAGTATGGGAGGGGAGTGGTTTGAAAGTGACAAAAACAAGAGTGTGTGGGAGTGGTTTGCTGAAAATCGCAGAAAAGGGAATGTTTATAGGGGAGTGAGAAATTATATGGGAAAAAAATTAGAGAGTGGAATACAGTGAGGTGTCACCATTCATTCAGCACTGCGTGGGTAAAGACTAGAGAGAGAGAGAGAGAGTAGTGATATGTGAAAGCGATGAGAGGGAAACCGTGCTGTCAGTCAGTTCAAATGTTGAGATTCTACATCGGAAGAAAACACAACATATAAAATTTTTGCATAACCTCATCTCGTGATGCTTCTGCTCAACTGCTCAACTGCTAATCTGCTAATCTGCTAGAGATATGCTAATTCTCTCTCTCTCTCTTTACATTCCAATTTCCACACTCCACAAAGCCCCTACCGCCCTACCCCTTTCTTGGCGACTCCCCCAATACATTCGCCTTGTCTGCTCCACTTCCAAATTAGAATCGTTGCCTTCCTCTTGTCCTCTCTTCTATTCCTTTTATTTTTTATTTTTAATTTCTCTTCCAAATTAATTCTCATGGGTCTCATGAGTCATGATCTTGGGCCTTCTTCATTGTTCTCTATTGATGGTGTGAGTTGATTTCATTTGTTTGTAATTAACTGACCATCCCAATTCCAATATTATTTCCATGCCATCAGATTAAAATTTCCAATCAAAATTAATTGATTCTTTGGGAGTTCAGATCAGATGTGGCTCCACCCATGTGACAGACGGTCCTGATTTATGGATATATCTTGCTTCGTGCCCTTGAACAAGCCAACAAGTCCTGCGACCCTGCTGGCTATTCTTGACCTATAAAACTGGCAGCAACTGGCAATCGTATATCAAGCATCCATTTTTTTTTTCCGCAAAAGGACTTGACCTGTTGCCTAATTACTTTTGGGTTCGGGTTGATTATTGTCGGCCCAGTATAGATCTCGGTTCACATGTGGTTTGGCCGTTGATTTACCGACCCGGCCGGTTTTCTGTCTGGGTGATAGATCGTTGGTTCCATTGTTCCGGTTAAACATGTCAGATCGTTAAAGCATCCCTATGCCATTAATGCAATCTCAAAGGTCGCTTGCTCTCAATTCCATTCATCTTAGAGGTCACCCGCTCTCTTAGAGCTGTCAGTTAATAATCCTGAATCAATTATTAATTGGTTCCTCCTTCTATATATGTATTAATCGGAAGAATTATATTAGGTCTGACCAAATAAAATCCAATTATAGTTGAGATATGTGATCGTTACAATTTAAAACTTTACGTTTAAAAAACAATGGTTTGTATTTTAATTAAAATTATCTTATAAGCTATTAAGCTTACGTTTTAGTTTTAGACATAAAATATAAAAAATAAGATAATCGGGAGAGTTTTTATATAAATATATAATCAGTTCGGGTCTGAATTGGTTCATTGGTTCAGTTCAGTTCGGAACAGTAACAACCCATCCCAATTCAATTATTAATCAGAACAAAACCACGAAATCAAAACTGACATAATTGGTTTGATTATGACCCATTGACAGCCCTATACTCTCTCTCTTTTCAAACACATTCTCTTTAGTTTTGTTTTATTTCATTTTTCTGAATGTTTTAACCTGGTCGGTTGAATCATCATCCATTCAAGATTCTGGGTCCAGTTTGTATGAAACACACTGTTTTGGTCAGTTTTTGAACCATTTAACCCCTAAGTCAGTTTTTGAAACATTAGCTATTATAACTTACCAGGTTTGGGGTAAAACAGAGACCCGGCATTGAGTACAAGGGTGATGGATCAACCGATCCAACCATCTGTGCCAATAATGGATTGCAATTTGTAAACATAGGAACAGACAAAGAACAAGGGTCAAGCCAATGTCCAGTAATTAATATACATCAAACGCTGTCCAATATTGGGAAACTAGTGAGATGTGAATCACGTGGTGATGAATTGGGTGGGTCCTCCTTGGGACCGGGCTGAGCTTTTTGGTGTATTACTGTTTAACTTTAACCTGCTTGATGATCAAGAGCTCTATATGATGAGATATCCCGCTTCCGTTCATCTGAGTGTTGAGTCTGTACTCTTCATAGTAGTATCAGAGGGTTAAAGTGTTCCGCTACTGCATGGGTTGATACGTTTGTCATCTAATGCAAGTCCTGCGGATTCTTCCTCGGATCAAGGGTTCAAGTTCCCCCATCAGTCACTAAAGCGAAATGAATCGGAGCACAATTTCCCAAAGAAATGCCTCAGCATGCAATTAACTTACATGCTTTGTATTTGTATGAATCTCCAGCTGGTGGTGCGCTCAACTCAACTCAACTCTGATCATCAGTCATCATGATTCATGCCTATAGTGTATATATGCATGCATAAGCCTCTTCCTCCTGGTGCTGAGTGCTGACCATTTTCAGGTGACAATTAAGCGGCTCGATCAGCTAGGACTTTCCCAAGTAAGCGACCAGGTTCTAATTAAATTCATTGATAATGGTGGTGGACCTTTTGAGCATATATATAGAGATAGGAATCTACATATGTAATAAAGACGCAAATACATATATTGGGAATGTATTTGCAATTCCTTCAATTCTGTGCATCAAGCTTTAAAAGAAAAGTTAAAAAGTAGAGATACGTCGTTTTTCTTTTGGTCTTGACTCTATGACTATATATGAAGGCTCAAGGCTAGGTGGGGGGAAAGTAAAAATCAGAATGCCGAAAATCCTTCGCAACTTTTGGGCAAGACAAGGAGAAGAAAGAAATAAGAAATGATGGAACGCGAATGTAGTGGTAGCAAAGTCTTCAACGCTACCTAGCTTGTTTCAAATTTCACGTAAAGAGGAGTACTAGTTTTTTTTTTTTTTTTTGAATTAAGGGAAAAGGGAGAGTATGAGCCTCCAACCCACACCTCCTTAATTAAATATTGCGCGCAGCTTAATTTATCTCAACAATCACCATCAAAACGTTGTAATTAATTAATTAAGAAGTTGGCTGGCTTTAGAGTAGCCTCAGGCGACTCAGAGAAACCACAGGATGGAGTTATTTGCTTGAGGCAATTTTTCCTTTATTTTCCTTTTTCCAAGCTAGTGATCACTGAGACTGACTATGGTGAATAATTAAGCAGCTGTCCAGTGTTCTATTTGATCGATCAGGAATCAAAAGAAAACACATGCATGGCAATGTTTTCCATAAAAGGGGCATAGAATTGAAGTAATAGCAAAAATGTTATTATTATTATTTGATATCTCTCTAGATCTCTATATTATCACCCCTTTCAAGATGAAAATTTCGTTACGAGTGCTACATAAATTTGTCCATCTAAAAGGGGCATAGAAGTAATAGCAAAAAATGCTTCAGTTTAGAATGTTTTTAACACAGATTTTAGAAACTATGTATTTTATAATTTTTTAAGTTGATACGCTTGGGTTGGACTAAAATACCAGAAACACATAATTAATACTGGAAAAACTTGCAGCCATAGAATTTATATACACCAATGCAAACCCTAATTTTCAAGTGGATGAAACAAACCAAAGAGCCTAACATCCCATTAATTGGAAGTTTGAAGAACCTCAATTAAGGATACCTAATGCTGCCCCTTTAAAAATAAATTGCTGTTGAAAGTTGAGAATTTGTTTTCAGGACTCTCCTAATAATTATTTTTCCAGAAATTAAAATTCTCTATTGGACCAATTACAATCAATATTCTACATTCTAAAATCTAAGAAGACACATTGATGCCAGAGATGGCTGTGTTTGGATAAGCTTCTGTTTTTGAGATTTGGGTTATGATAAACGAAGATGTGACAAAGTGTTATAAGCTTTTGATAAGTTTTTCTTTTAAAAATCTATTAATCTAAAGTCAAAACACTTTTAAGCAGAAAAGCACAATTCTACAAGTCTAAAAATTGGGGCTTTGTGCTTTGCGGCTTTAATCCTCAAGTTTATCCAAACTCAATTCATGTTAGCGCATGACGATGCTTTGACTTTACGTTAATGCCAACAAAGACACATTCATTGTCCAAATCTTTACGTTGGAACTAAAATAAAAAAGAAGAAAAAAAGGGAAGAGAAATGCAATTATATGTTATATATATATATATATATATTTTTTTTTTTTTCTTTTTTTTTATACATAATTATATGTTATATATGGTCCAACGTAACACTTGTTACTTCATGATATGCTAGTTCGATTGCTCAATCTCACGGGGGCGGAGCTAGGAAATTTTCATGAGGTGGGAGAGAGAATATATATGGATGGTAATAGGGGGGCCAACCAATTGGGGTGGAGAATGAGGAGGGGGAAATTTATATGAAATAGTAAGGATTTTTTTATCATATGGGGGGTCATGGCTCCCCTGGCTCCGCCCCTGCAACCCCAGTATTTAGAATGTGGAGACACTAGAGAGACTTCACGCAAGCAAAAGTCAATAGTCATCGATCTGCGCAGTATCATCACCGGCCGAGAGATTGGTGATCATATATATATATATAGATATATATATATATATATACGGCCAACACAGGGAGTACATCGTCGTCGTTATTACTTATTAGGCTTGAAAAACTTGCACCAGCTACCAGCTATATATGTTGGGTTAAATCACGAGCTTTTACTAGATCCCAATGTTGAGATCAGAACAAATGCCCTCGATCTCGATCCCTGTCTGATTTAATTGTGCCTTTCTCATTTCTCAGGGGTAACATTAGTTAAGCTTAATTGTAATAATACTTGTACATGTAAATGTATGTCTCTGTATATCTAAAATTAATCAAAACAGATTGATCTGAAAACCAAACAAGCTAGTAATTGGGTAATCCAATGGACATGAACTGGAATTGGAATGCATTTTACTGGTAACAGAATGGGGTAATTCAGTCATTTTGTAAAATCTCATTGACGACTGGTATCTACTTTATGGTAGAAACTACAAAGGCAAGTTTGCTTGCGTTCCCTAAAAAGAAGATATCTCTTTTGTCATATTCTCTCTTGTAAGAAAACATTTCATAGGCCTTTCTACAATGGCAAACCTACCGCTCCCAACCTCTCTCGTACCACTCTTCTCTTCTTCTTTCTTCTTCTTCTTCTAATAAGACTCGATGTATATGAATACCTTCTTCACTGCCAAATTTCGTAGATTTTGTCAAAAAGGAGGAAGCCTGGTGCCTGGTGCCGTCTCCTCGTGGTAGTAGTCTTTTCAATTTCGCTGCAAGGGTATTTTGGGCATTAGGTTTCCTGGCGTCCCCAAACACGGAGGTTGACACGGCCGAGTAAATTCGCCGCCGGCCGCATTACCCTGCCATTTGAGACTGAGAGCACTATCTCACTATAATAACTATATCGATATTCTTTCCAAAAGAAACAAGAAAAAAAAAAAAATCAGAAACTGTTAAAAAGAGCTCCGGCATTTTTTTTGGGAAACCGCGTTTTCACCGGTTCCATCCCTGTCTCCCTCCTCTCTCTCTCTCTCTCTCTCTCTCTCACAGTCTCTCTCTTTCTCTCTCTCTCTTATCAGTTTTACTTCCGTTTTTACCCTCCGGCTGTATTTAGAAACCCACATTCCCAATTTCCCATCCTACCACACACAGTAATCTCTCTCCCTTCTTTCTCCATCTCCATATCTTTATTATTATTATTAGTATTATTATTATTAGTTTTCGAAAGGCATATCTCTATATCTTTTGTTTTTGCATTCCATCTATTTGTGCTCTTGGGCTCAATGACAGCTCCAAACATGGCGACGATTACTGCTTCTTTGGAGCGGTCTCTCCAGAACTTTTCTCTCAACCACGACGACGGGGGCGGTGGCGCCGGTGTGATTGGCAGGTCGGCGACTTCGGATGCGACAGATAATCTGACAATAAACGCCGATACCACCGTAGAACTTAATTCACACGTCGCTCTTCCTTATCAATGGGAGCAGTGCCTCGATTTAAAGGTTTCCCAAAAAGCCCCCTTTGGCCCTATTCCATCTCCTTCTTCATTAAATGCATAACCAGTCTCTACATCACTTCTTTTCTTTTAAGTTCTATCCTCCAACAAATTATTTTTGTGTTTAAGAACAGCAGAAAGGTCGCTTTTCTTTGTTTATTTTGTCCTGTGCTCATTACTCTCTCTCTCTCTCTCTCTCTCGTTCTCCTTTTATCAAATAAACAGTCAAACAAAGAAAAGGGAAAACAAACGAGCTTTTTCTCTAGACTTTTGTGAGTTTTGCCTTTTTCTTTTGATATCCACCTTGTTTTTTCACAAGTGTTGATTTTGCTGTTCTGGGTGGTTGTGTGTGCAGACGGGGGAGATTTATTATATAGACTGGCGGAACGGGACGAAAGAAAGAGAAGATCCAAGAAAAGCGCTGAGGTCTGCTGCTGGAGGTTATTATTCGGACGTGGACGATGATGAAGACGACGACGACGACCAAGAAGAAGAAGATAGCTCGTGTGAGAGCGAGGGTTCCTGCACTGATTCATGTCCTTCGACATCAAGGGACGATTGCCATCGCCAAGACGTAGGCAATCATGTTCTCGTAGTCGCCGGTTGCAAGAGGTGTCTCATGTATTTCATGGTGCCCAAAGAGGTTGAGGAGTGCCCCAAGTGCAGCGGTATGCTCTTGCACTTCGATCGAACGGACAGCGAGTGACATTAGGTTTTTGGTCTTCTCTTTTCCTTTTGTTTTTTTTTTTTTTTTTGTTTGATAAACGTGGCTTGAGATATTTTCAGTGTGGATTGATCAAGTGAAAGAAATGGGTGCGGGCATCAACTGTTCTTTCTCTTTTCTTTTCCTTGTTCTTTCTCTCTTTTGTTTTTGTCTGTTTTTTTTTTTTTTTTGTAAGCTTGCTTCTTCTTTTTTTTTTTTTTAATGTTGGTTTGAAGCGCCATTAGATTAGAGTTGCAGAGAAGAGCTTTAGTCTAGAGAGCCAGCAAGGTCAATGAGCAGAAGGAGAGAATAAATTTGGTAATGATTGCGACATGTGGCTCTCTGTAATTTTTTATGCTTGTTTGTTTAATTAGTGTTAATTCTTTTCATAACCTTATATTCTTCTTCCCCATTGTCCATTGACAAGGTAGTTTTTGAATTAATTAAAGAATGCGAAGAGCTGGCATGCTTAGTGTCAATGTTTCACTCGCTAATGGCCGTGTATTTCGACGGATAGAGATACGATCTTTTTTTTTTCCAATAACTACTGTTATTAAATGACAATATTCTACTTATATTATATTAATTACTGAACTTGATACTTTGATTAATTATGATTATGAATGGAATGGAATAGAATAAATAAGCTTCTAGTTTCATATGTTGTGTTTGTTGTGAAGTAGTGATTGATTGATGCATTTTTAATCTTCACGTCTGGTGTGGTCTGGTTATAGTTTATTACTTTGTTTAGAGAATTAGGGTTAGAGTTAGAGGCAGCCGAGAATAAATGTTCATTTGGTTGGGGTTGTTTAATTGCTTTGTGCCTTAAAGTGTGGACTCAACGATACGTTGTGCTCCGTTGGTTACGCCTACTGTAATATACTAACCGTTCGATTCGTAGGCCTAACAGTACTCATCCTTGTTATATGAGGTGGTGTCCAATGTCCATGTCTGCCTTTTTCGTTTCAAAATTGTCTGCTTTCCGAATCTTTTGGACAGAAGCATTTGTTCACTTTTCAATTCCATACTCCATAGTCCATACCAAATGAGAAATGAAAAGGCATGAATCAATTATCAATCTTTTTAAAAAAAAAAAAAAAAATTGGTAGAGATCATATACAATCAATCAAGACCGCTTAAAATCTCCAAGGTAGGAGGAGCATCTGAAAATTAAACTGGATGACCATGATTTGTTGGTTTATGTTTTAATTAGGGTGTGGAAAGATTTAGGCCTTATGTACTTTTTTTTTCGCTGAAGAGAGAGAGAGAGAGAGAGATTAGAAAGGAGGAGGGAATACGAATTGGAATATTTTGAACAGCTTTACTGCTGTGTGGGGGTTGGGAGGGGTAGGCTAGTGATGGTCACTTCACGAGAATCTTCTTCTGAAACTCTCAGCAAAATCCAGATCCAAATCGCGTGGTGAACAGCTGGGGTGGGGCTCACGTTCCCCAGCTTCTTTTGGCATCAGCTTAATAGTCTGGGATTCCCTCTTACGTCAATAGTCTTACCATTTGGCATTTGAAAAAAAATAAATAAAACTCGAATCTCCTACGTGTCTACACCTGGGTTGGGGATTTTCGTCTCCTCAGGGAAAACACCGTCGTTGGATCAGAATCTCATAGAACTAGTCTCCCTAGCTATCAAGGTGTGTAAAACTGTTACAGCTAGAAGAGCAAAGAGAGTGGCTAGGCACTAGTAGGCAAATTGACAATTGAGAGTTGAGATATATATATATTTATCCATGTACGTAGGAGAATCCCGATTCCAACACCATGACTTTCCCTTTTGATGGGGAACAGTGAATCCTCAAAACTAATCTATATCATATCAATCTCCAACCCAACAATGCAGTTCCAATCTAACGGTTTTATCCTAAGGAACACAGCTTAAGCTGTCAATTCAAGGAGTACTCCAAGGTGGACTCGGGATTAAAAGTTCAATCAATCACTGCCGATGCTTCTTCCCCGAACCTGGACATGTATAAGAAACCAAGAAAGTGCAAGTTTAGGAGAAAATTTGCAGTGGGGTGGTGAGGTTGTTGGTTCTGAGAGACACTGATAGGTCCGTCGTCCTAAAAGATTCTAATTTTTCATCAGGCTATCACAGAGAGAGAGAGAGAGAGAGAGAGCGCTTTGGTACGAAGAAAGAAAAGTGGTCCAAAAGGTTCTCTGGAGCAGACAAAGGAACCTTTCCTTCCTTGCCAGTAGAGAATCTAAGCAGAGAGCTTACAGAGCAAAGAAGAGAGAGAGAGAGAGAGAGAGAGAGAGGCAGGCTCAATCACATGGTCAGTGACAAAGTATGGGATACGCGTAAGAACTCTAGTATCATGGCATTCACATGTATTTATCTTTTCAATACAACACTTGTTTTTTTTTAATGATAGAATATATTGCATTTGTCTATAATGGTGATGGAGATTATCTATGAACACCTTTCATTGATCCCAAGTGTTATAGTTTATAATCCATATGCTCAATAATTTTCAACACAAAACAATTCAATTTGATGGTTTCACGGTATCCAATCAAGCTAACCTTCATATGGTCTATAATGTATAAGGTTCTGTTTGGAAAGATTTTCCACTTGTTATGTGAAACAAATTAGGTACTTGCATACTTATAGTAGTACAACTGTACAAGCATTTAGTATTGGTGTGGTCTGCTACTTGGATTGTTCCACAACCACCAAGGAATCTAACAAATTATTTTGGGGCCCAAAAAGGTCCCACAAGTTTTTGTTGCCCCTCTCCTTATCGTCCATTAATGGGCCAAATTTGAGCCCAAAAACCCTTGTCACTTGGTCAGAGTAACTTTTCGGACAATCTCAATATAGAGATTTGGTGAGTCCGCGACTGAAATAATGCCAGTATGTATTATTGAAACCTCTTCCAACAACAACACTAACATCAGTGATAAAAGGTAGTGTGGATTCTAGCCTTGTAGGAGTTGGATTGAATAGGCCGGTTGGCAATTCCATGGGGGACGTATATCTCTATGTCACACAGTCAGAGACTATAATCATCACTTCCAACTATTGAAACCTTTTTAATAGGTCCCACTTTACCGGTAGTGCTTAACTAAACAGACCCGGAAAGAAAAGTAGAAGTTGGATCTGGGACCCAAAAGATCAAAATTACTCAAATATAGCAGGTAGGAATCAGATGGTTGATTAATTCAGTCAACATACAGGAGATCTTTAAAGTAGTAGAGATGACATTTCCTACTCACTTCCTATAACCAAGCTAGGTTCTAAAAGTTAGTGCATCAATTCAACTGTTATTAGTTCGGTTGATTAATTGCAATTAAAATAGACATACAACTATGTTATGAGGTTGATTTCCCGACTTGAACATCCTTCACCTTAATCATTCCAAATGGAATAAAGCATTATTAACGTCAGAATGGCAATAGGTACCCGGATACCCGACATAATTTGGGTCCACAAATTTTGGACCTGAGATCATAATTGAGTTCAATCCAGACCTGGTCAGCGAATGGCCAATAAACATTTGATTTTATAAATTAATAAATATTGGAATTTATAGCATGGGAACACAGAAAATTAAGCCATTTTTTATTATTATTAACTGTATGCATCAAATTAATAAAATTTTGGGTTTTCTTTAGTGCTATACAAAGCCACGTATCATCATTTCATTTGGTGGGTCTTCTGGGTCTGGAACCATCAGTGACCCGTGTCATATACACCAGGCCTATATACCTGACAATACCCCAAAGTAAATGTGTATATAACAGGGTCCGGGTCTGGGTATAGATGGACATAAACCTCGAACAAACTGTTGACACTCAACCCGCATCAGTCCAAAACTCTATATTGCCACTTTTGGTAGGAACGGGCAGCTCCGATGGCTGGTCTGGCCAGCTTTAGGTCTTGATGTGCTTAAACTGTGCACATCATGTCCGGGCCTATCCCTCTCTGGTCTGTCTTAGTCTGAGCGAAACTGGTATAGTCTTGGATAGGCGGATAACTGCCTTAGATAGTCGTATACATTCCATATACGTACGTTAATGTGTAACCATACATGCAACACGCAACTAAAATCAAACAATTTTGTTGGATGGAAATCCCTTTTCTATGTTAGCGTAGCATGTACTGTCCCTAGTTTTAGGCCTTCCTAGGAAATTAACCAAGGCAGAAATTAAACCCCCACCCCCCCAAAAAAAAACTAGAGAAATCCTAACTTCTAAGAGTAGATTTTTGCACAGGACCTATGCGTTAAAAGGTAAACTATCCATTCCATGAAAAACTTACAACTGAACCTCTCCTATCGCAAGTCGAGCTTTCATTTTAAAACAAGGACGCAACTCTTTTTCTTTTCTTGTTGCCTCAGAAAAATAATAAGGAGACAACTTGTGAGTTGGGTGTTGTTTGGATAAATGCCAAATGAAGTTGATTTCAGATTATTATTATTATTATTATTATTATTATTATTATTATTATTATTATTATTATTATTATTATTATTATTATTAAGAAGAAGAAACTATTATAAAGGATACAGTTGATTTTATTATTAACAAAAGGGCAATAGTGAATTTAGGTTAATGTTTGATTTGAAGGAAAAGGTGAGGAAAGGAAGGAAAATGTAGGAAAACCTATATAAGATTTGTAAAGGTTTTTCTACATTTTTCTTTAAATCAAACACAGCCCTAAAGATCCATACAAGATTTAAAGTATCAATATGTATCGGCCTGTATCAACCAAACACAGCCCTACAGAGAATGTATCGATATTTTAAACCTTGAATCCATGATCTAAAAGTAAAAAAAAAAAAAAAAAAAAAAAAAAAAAAAGCAGAAATTCCTTTTCATGACTTTATTTTAACTAAAACTATGTAAATAGAATCAATGTTATGTTATAATTGCATGCTTACATGGATAGATGGATACAGTAGTAATCAAATTAAAATATACTCTCTAGTCGATCTCTATATAATTTTCTACTCTCTGCTGGTGTGGTATAAAACCAGACAACCCTCCAAAACATGGCTCAGAATAAGATAAGATATTGCGGAAATCTCCTCCAAAAACGATATTCCAAATTAATAAAAACATTAATAATAATAATAATAATAATAATAATAATAATAATAATAATAATAATAATAATAATAATAATAATAATAATAATAATAGAGAGATAAAAAAGAGCTAAGCCTTGAGCCTTGACTCAGGGTCTAAAGTGAGCCGTACATGCAAAGGGTGAGGAGGAAGAGCATACCTTGACAGTTGCCACCAAACTAATTACATGCAGAAAGTAGAAACAAATTAGAAACCGATTCCCCCAGTCGTCCCTACCTACCTACAGTACAGTGTAGAAAGAAATAGAATAGGCGTTTATTTAATTAATTGAACAAGGTAAGGCAACACAGTCACAGCCAACAGGCATATGACACTGCTAATAACGGGTCATTCAAAGGCTTCTTTCTTCTACTTGTTTCTGCAACTGCAACATGCA